CAAATGCCGTTTACAGATCGAAAATCGGACCATTGGTTCAGACGTTATCAGGAAAGTAAATTCCCCTGCGATAGTGCTGCTATCTATTGAATTTTCCTACAAGTATTTTTCGGTGCATTTAGCTTTAAATGAAGTGGCCGGTGAAAGCATGAACCTGTTTAAACAATTAACTAATCGCGTGTGGAGAACATTTTATTTATTTCATACCTCTGGAATCAATAAACTTGAAAAATAAACTCAAGCTTGTAGAAGAAAATAGCAAGGACAAGAGAATTTCAGTAGTTTAATGTACGAACTGTAAACGTTTAAATACGGGAAAGAACTTGAGAAAAAAAAGCATTGTGGGAAATAGGTCAGCGACAAGTGAAAGCGAACGACGGCGTTTTTCCTTATTTTGTTGTTATTGTAAAAAGTTGGTCGAAGCGAAAACGCAGACGTGAGACGGCTAAAAGTTGGCCGAGGTAACAAGTAGGGAAGCACTTGGCGTTAAATGATGCAAATGGCGGACGTTGAAATGTGCGGGAAATGCAAACTTGATAATGGAATGAACTAAAACATGGTTTTTCTAACGGAATGGAATGAAGTAGGCGAATGGGAATTGCACTAAGCAGTGGAAGACTCCGAAAGGAACGCGACTACTTCAAACTTTTCATTTGCTGATTTCCGGATTTAACACTCGCATGTAAGAAGGCCAAGAAATGTAATTTTATTCTTGGGTGGAGGGAGGGGAATTCCAATTTAGTAAATCATGATCATTGGGAAAACAATGCACATCATATGAATGAGGTTTTGAAATATATTTAAGTGTGTATGTGTGTAAATATTTTGATTTTTTGTGAAGTGTATATGCAGTGTGTATGTGTTCCAATGTTATGTTGATTGAGAGGAGTGGCGATGACACTAGAGGTTCTCGTCAGGGGTAAATAAATATATGACACCGACATTTGTCAAACAGAGACAGTTGTCAAAAGAATTTAGTGTTTTTTCTTAAACATTGGGATAAACAGGGGACAACTTCATTTGTGAATTCTATAATGGTTATAGATTCTCCCCTTTTCAGTATAGAGGGAGCCAATTTTTGACAATTTTTCTTTCATATCAAGTATTAGAAATAATGCGAAAATAATCCAATCCCAACAAATTCAAAGGAAGCGCCTGTGGTGGATACCTGTGTTTTACTCGTATTTCGATAGCCGGCAGTCATATCTAACTTTCAGAAATGAAACACAGCATTACCAGCGATCAAAATTTCTAGACGTAACGAAGTAATTTGTTAGTTCTAAGTTAAATTAATACCTTCCATCAATCTAAACTTTCTTTTACAAGAATAGCATCCAAACACTTCTCAACTTATGTTCACGAAGCGCAATCAATTCCGAACGGGCGACTATGTTTGTAACCAAATTACACACACAAAATACCCATATTTTCAAAAATCATTCTCTTAAACGTAATTTACGCTATCTAAGGTCTAAAGTTAATCAAATCTGTGCCGTTTTTTAAGAAAAAATGGTTTAAAGAAAATAATAAGAATTTTTCTCCCGAAAATTGGCCGTTTTCCGATGCACCTTCCTCTTCTTACGAAGTATGTGCGAGAAAATAAAAACTGCCTGTTTGACACAAAATTTCGCACAAAATACTCATGTTAAAAAAAAGAATTAAAAACAAAAACAAACAATGAACATGATATTATTTTTTGATCTGTTTTTGATGAACACGTGAGCATCAAAGCCCAGAGCTCGCTTTCTTCACCAGACAGCCGTTGGGCGGCTTTTTGCCCCACCGACGCCGGATTCTCCCAGAACGGTCTGGCAACCCCGCTGCGGCCATGGCCCGCGAAGTTCACGGCCGTGACCCACGAAACGCACGTTTCGCGAATGTGCTTGACGCGACGATTTGCACGTACGTTTTTCTTTCCCGTTCCACGTAACCTCACTATGTTAATCCTGCCAAAGCGTTTTAAAACTATCTTGTCTCTCTTTAACCAGACTTAGGTGGCTCAGGGCATCAACCGATGACATTGCAGTGCCTTTGAGCACGAAGTCCAAGGTAGAGCCCCGATGGTAGCAGGATTTTCTACACTAGCTTGAAAGCTAGGTCGATTTCGAACGCTGACTGGAGGAGAATTGTAGCTGCTCCGTTCGCGAATTTTCCGAGGTTTCTCCGATCATGACCAGGCGAACGCCGGATCACAGCCCTAACACACGGGCCACGGACCCTACGCGATCTTTCCTATTCTCGGCCCTACAGACATAAAATGCACTACCGCTCGTGTCGGGAGCTTAGAGCGTGTCCCGGCTGCAGCGGTGCCCTGCTGGCGGAATATACCTAGTTATGGAAAAAAAACCTAGTACCGACATTTTTAACTATTTTGTTACTATTTTATTACCGTAAAACCAATTTTTTACCGCTCATCTTCACAAAATAAATAAATAAATAGTGCCGGATTCGCTTGATATCAAGCTGGTCTACACTCCATAGCAGAATCAAACCAAACTAGTACCAGAAATTTAAACTATTTTATTACTTATTTATTACCGTAGCACAATTTTTTCCGTTCATCTTGCCCCCCCCCATGGAAGGGGGAACTGATCATCAAAAGGGAAGTGAATGTTAAAAAAAAGGCAATTTAAAAATGTGCAAGGCCAAGGACTTTTCTATTTCTGAATTACAAAACTAGAATAGCCTTTCAAATAATTTAGTAATAAAATTGCACAGATAAAATTTAATTACTGTAAAAGGGTGATTGTATAAGTCTCATAGTATTTGTTAATTGCCAAATTAACAAATTGCGTAACAAAGTCACTGTTGCTCATCATAATTTTCTCAGGAAAAGGGCTATTATTTTTGAGTTATGTTGCTGCATGTGCATGCCATTAAATGCAGAAAACCTCAAGTATAAAATTGCTATCTGCTGTACCTCGTAGTATGAGTGGCAAAATTTCAGTCCCACATTTTAAGTGTCATCTCCACTTTTTAAGTGTCTTTTGCTCAATCCAAGGCAAATATTTAATTAAAATATTGAATTATCTTTGAGAAAGTTTTGAAAATATTAAGGCTTAGAATAAAATACCCACAAAATGAAAATATTTGGACCTCAAGTTTGGTGAAATAAATACATCAATTTTGGAGAAAATAGTCTGAACAGTTTAGGTTGTAGTATTGCATACAGATGCTTTGACGTCAGCGAATTTTTCAGAAACAAGGCCCCATACAAAATGTGTATTCTGAGTACACTTGTTAGAGGAAGTAATTTACCACAAGTAGAAACAAGGTTTATCCGGTTTGGGGTATCAGGGCCCAACAATGCACAGTTTTTCAGTTGGAAAATCTTCATTTTTAACCACAACATGTCAATACTTTCTCTATACCATGCAAGTATGAAAAATTAAAAACAAAGAGAATGCATTTTGTTTTCTTGTTAAAGATTTACCCTTTTGTGAAGGTATTGTATGTTTGAACAAAGGGAATTATAAAGAATTTATTCTTCTTTATAGAACTAACTAGTTCTTTAACTAGTATAGAACTAACTAGTTCTTTAACTAGTATAAACTAACTATTTTTAACTTGCTACTATCAGTTGTTAATTGGATATGAATTAGGGAATTTAGATGAAAGATGCAGCTATTTTCATTCCTTCTATTTCTTTATAAGCATTTCAATATAGCTTGGGTAACTACAAAATGGAACATTATTCACAATACAAAATAAAATCACAAAAATTAAATTAAAAATCTAAATTTAAAAATATGTGTATTAAAGACATAACATTATAAATAACATTCAAACTTCTTACTATAAAATGTTTTATTACATTCAAACATTCTTTTGAAATCACTCATGAAGTCTGTAAACAAATGTAAACTCATTTGCCAGTAACTGTGTGGGCAGAAGGTGTAATGACACACTAATTGTTATGCAGCTGACTCGGCATAAAAAAATATGGAAGACCAAAAGAATGTAAATGCATTTGTGTAATAGAAATATTATTTAGATGACTACATAATGATGTTATCTTAAATGCTCTTCATAGTCAAATACAAATAATTTATAAAACTGGTATTTTTTGTTTCTTAAGCGGAACTTCCGTAAGTCTCATTGAGTAATGGCATTCCAACCAATTAATTTTTTTATCACGTCATTTCTAGCGACTAACTACATTAAAGGCACTTTTTGGTTTGTTCCCGCTCCAATTATAACAAGGTTCCAAAATGTCATGTCAAAATTTACTTTTTATTGCTTAAATGGATACTCTCAAGAAGAGATTGGTAAGAGTAAATTTTATTGAGACAACAAATTTAAGTTTCTAACTAAATCAAGATAACTCAGAGAGGCAAGTTTTGAATGCATAATTTTTTTAAGGTAGCATAATGAAAAGCATTCGGTTTATAAATATCTCTTTGCCATTTCATTTCGTATACTTTTACAATTCTATTCAAAATATATCCTTTGGAAAGATTGAAACATGAGGATAGAAAGTGAAGAAATTGTAATATGGATCGGCAACATAATGTTCAAAACGAATGAATTAATAATGTAAATACCACAATTTTACAAAACTAAACAAACATTTTCTCAGAATTTTTGAGTTTTCGGAAAAACTGGTACAACTACATTTGGAAGACCAAATTCTTTTGCAGCAAGTCAAAAGTAATGGCAAAAGATGAGAATATCACTCTTGTTAGAGTTAAGAATCCGTCTTCTAGATTTTATGAATTTCATAAAGACATTGAGAACAAAGAATCTTGATGACTAATTGCCACTCACGAAATTAACACTAAAATTTGCATTGAACTGTACATCTATTATGAACCAATCAAGACTGTGTATTAAAAAAAAAAAGTTATTACTTAAGCATCTTCTTTGACGAAGCCACAAGGTGTTGATACAACTGACAAAGAAGCACTCTCTTTGTGTACTTGAAAAGTAGCACACAATATAATTAATATTTGACACATTCGAAACTTTTTTGAGGTAATTTCATTTGTGGAAATTGTCATATTAATACCAATTTCAGATAAAATTCGCAATGCGCCTATAATTAAACATTTTTTGTAGAGATTCTCAAAATTTAAATATTTTTAGGCTTTCCGCTTTAGTTTAAATAATTAATAATTTTCCGGCTTTTGTCACAATGGCGCATCAACTTCCACTACTGATAAGCATATTAAACTAATGGCAAAGAAATCCAGATCAAAAGTGACAAGAGTAACATTGGTTCAGAAAGGAGTTACAAGATCACTTTATCACACCTGATCATTAACTCAATTTGATGTGCATAACAAATTTACATTGTTTTGAGAAAAGAAGGTGATCCACAGATATAAATCCTAGTAGTGTAAATCAGTCTACGCATGAATTCACATGAAATGGCAGTGAGACATGAAATCAGAATGATATTGGTCTTTTTCAGAAGTTTGAGTGCTCCTTGATATGGAGAAGAAAAATACATGAGCCCCTGTGCTGTCTTGTAATATTAAATACTAATAGGTCTTTTTTCACTGCTGCCTGGCTAATTTAAGAAAAAAGAAAATAGTAATCATGCATATAAAACTTAAAAAAAATCACTGAGCCATAGTATACATTTTAGAGCTCTTGGCCTTTTGTCCCTATTTAACTACTACAACGAATACATGAAACTATGGTAAGAAATGAAAATTAAACTAATTACTTTCAAGTTCAAATCACAAAATACTTATTTTATGCATATTGCCTTCAATTGTTTCGCAAAAGTACATGAACAATTCATTTTTAAAATGATTTACAAAGAGATACGTTTATATTTTGAAAAGAAGGGAGAGCAGATCATTCTTTTTTAAGATTAAGGTTTATGTATCATAATCTTGGCCAAATAAACAGGGAGAATGTGAAAATTTACTTCATATTTCTTGTGCATGATCCAATTTCCTTAAACAGGTAGTTCACCCAACACTTCCCAATATAGATGTTGAGTCAAAGAGATCACACACTTTTAATCCAAGAAGTTTAATCGAAACTACCGTTTTAAAACAATGTTTTCTTCCCCAGTTGATTTTGCTCTATGGCAAGTATTAAAAAACTTAGCATGCCATAAATTGAGATACACTTATAGCCATTATAGTGGCAAATAATAGCATTATCTGCATACAAATAGTGACACCTTTCTATTATTTGTCAGCAGAACAAAATAGGAATTATGAACTATGGTATTACATTTTTCTCATAAATTTATAAAATAAATAATTTAAAACTTGATCATGCACATATTATTTACAAATAGGCTATGGACAAATTATGAATATATTTATACTGAAGAAACAAACAAGGCCACATTTTTTGCCGAGTGAAATATTTTTAATCTAGGGACTCATTTGAAGTCATTTTAGACATTCCATCTTAAGGAACTATAACCTTTAATATTCCCTACAAAGCATGGCAGAATATACTGCTGCCAAGAAGATGAGTAATACCCTCAACATTTACATTGAAAGTGATTAACTGAATTCTTAATGCAAATCACTTTGAAGGAAGGTACAGCCATGCCTTAGTCCTCAACATTTTCCATTTATTCCAGTCTCATTTTTCCTTAATAAGGCAGGAATGTGACAACTTATGAAAGCAGTCTTTAAATAATACAGGATAATGTACACAAATACACACAGACACCAATTAAATATTTGACCCACCCCAGAATTAAGAAATAATTCAAAAATACCCATGGCAAGTCTACTGAACAAAAATTCAGAATAGGACCATCTGTTTACACAAAAGATATTAATTATTTTTAAAATTCAGAAAAAGAGAAAATATTATTGGAATAAAATCTGGCTCCTTTAATAAATTAGTTTTTGTCAACTTCAGGTCAAGAAAATAATTGAGTAAATAACTAGAAGAAAAGATGAATATTTAGATATTGGTAGGAATTAGGAAGCTTGATTTTTCTCTTTGATTAGATCTAAAAATTATATCAACATGTACATTTTCTAATTTTTTTTAAAAACATTTTTCTAAAATTTTTTGTAATGAGGGAAAAAGTTATTTTTTTATTAAAAAAACTAATATAGAATAGAATAGAAAGCATTTCATCTGTCACATAAAAACCAGATTGTTCAGTCTGACCAGCCCGGATGGTGTCTGAATCTATTTGAATAAAGCTAAAAATAGTTAGTAAAATCTATGCAGTTGTGTGCAAAGCATACCACACAGTGATGTATAAGAAAAATAATTCGTAAATAAATTATTTATAAAAATATCCTCAAGCCACTGTAAACACCTTGCCCAAGGGGTGGAACCACTAGTCAAGACACTTGTAGGTATATTTTCATTTAGACTCCTTGAAAAAAGGGCTTGGTTATAGCCTTTGAATAGACTCTCAAAATGCATGGTTGCAAATATACCTGATAATAAATAACAATATTCTCTAAACACCTCCAACCCTTTCATATGTAGGCTTTGTCATACCTTTCTTTCTCTGCACCTGGCGTTGAAATGTAGGCACATAATGGAGTTATTCTTAATTGGTATGAGAATGTTCTGCAATGTCTACAAATGCAAAGAAATGCCCAACAAAAATTTTGAACATTGACCAGACATTTCAAATTCAACTGAGGCAATGCCCTCAGGCTCCGAGGTCATTACATGATATAAGCTATAAAAAACTACAAATTGTGCTCCACACCTTCACACACAACCATATTCATACCATACAGAGTTGTCTGTTTTCCCACTTTTGTTAGCACGAGAAGGGCCACCACGTTTATTATCTCCTGGTGCTGGAGAATGGGAACGTGTTGACAATAAACTGCCCTGGCTGGGTGCTTCATGTAGTGCTTGGTTCTGACTAGCCACACCTGCATCTCCGCCACCAATCACGGTTGATATCCGGTTGTAAACAAGAAACCTGCTGCACAATGAAAGTTGTCAAGGAAAATTCAAATTTTACAAAGACATACAATAACAATAACTGAGCAGAATTTCATGCTGCCAAATTGAATAGTTGAAAACTTTTCTCTGCCTTTCAGTTACAATACATGTTTTCAACTAAATTATTTCCTAGATAGCATTCACTGATAACTCAATTTCATACATTTAAACTTCCTTTCTGCAAAACAGTCACCTGTACTACAATAATTTATTTCTATAGGGATCCTTCAAAAATCTAACTGCTACAGCAACAACTCCAGGACATGTGGAGTTTTGGAATTCATAATTCCTTCCAATATTCCTGAGCTGGAATGAATGAAGAACTGACCCCAATTGGATAATGGAGTGGCAAATAGGAATTATGTAATTAACAATCCAAAACTGAATCAAATTATTTTAGTTCAAACACAAATACCATTCTTAATATTTTTTACTGAATATGAAAATATATTAATAATATATTTGGAGGTTTTGTATTTCTTTTGTTTTTTTTAAATTAAATCCAAAGATTTTATTGTACCTTTAAGGAGAATCGCAAATAATATTTTTTTTACTTTCTTCAAATCGTAAAGAACAACAATATATTTTCAGTTACCAGTTTTGAATAGAAGCCACACCAATATTATGTGTAAATATGGATATTAATATTTCAATAATTGTTCCTTAGGATTTATTATAAAGGAAACAATAAAATTATAAATTTTACAAAAAATGTATCCAAATGTGTCTTTAAAATTTTTGGTGTTGAAGTAAATTTGTGTGTCCAGATGAATGTGATAAATTATCTTGGTAGCATCACCATCAGATATACATGAAATCCTAAAGGTTACGATAATAGTATATGATTGAGACAGCTGTAGATAATAACAGTTCTTTTGAGAAACAAATTTTAATAGAACTTTTTGATTAATCATGTGGCACATGCAGTCGAACTCTCAGCTGACTTAGTAGTTCTTCCATTGATAGAGAGTCGTAGACATATTTGAGAACACTATCTTTTTCAAAAACTCTCTATTATTGTTCTCAAATGTCATAGCTTCCAATTTGTGCTAATAGGCTTTAAGGTGATGTCACCAGAATAATCTCAATCGAACCCTGAGCAGCGTAGCATATCACAGGGTAAAGGGTGTAGTACAATTTACAACTGATACAACTTTTTAATGTATATCTCGTGCTTATTATTAGAAAATATTGTAGTTCAATAAAATTTTGAAGTTTTGATCAGTAAATGAGTTTAATGGGTGTTTGTGGCTCGAATACCCATACATCATTTTGTGAATCAAGATAAGCTAAAATTATGTATTACCATTTCACCCCCAAAAAACACACCGGCACATGTACATGTACACACAAACCCTGCCCTCCAAATATATATAACATAAAATCACCCATATCAGTATTAACACAAAGAGGCTTGTTTGTAATTGCGTCCTGTTTAATGTCATCAGAAATAGTAAATAGTGAACTTTGTTTTACATTACCACAGTACTTTGTGGGCAGAAAGAAGTCTACTTCTAAAATACTTAAAATACTATAAAACTAAAATTCATGGATTTTATTTTTGCTTTATTTGCAAAGTCGCTGAACAATTAATCCAAATATGCCTGAAATGTTTTAATTTACTTTCATTGATTTTTTTATTTAATTATATTAAGAGTACATAACTATTATAGTTAGTTATCGTTCAGAAATTTGTATGACTGTCAATTATTAATTTACAGTAATTGGGAATTAAAATATATACTAATAATTAAAAAAATATAATACAAAAGTATTTACTATATTTTGAGTATTTTAAATATTTTAAATATGAATGCATTTAGCAAATAAAAACCTAATGTATTTTGAGTATGCAATTAACTAGTATTTATTTACTAAGTAATTTGGAGAAGTATTCAAATACTAAATTTAAAGTATATTGCCCAACCCTGTAGAGAAGTATAATTAGCATTTTCTTGTACACATGAACACCCATAGCACAGCAAAGTTTTTTTGCAGAGGAATGTTCACTATTCAAATATCCTGAATCCAACTTCAAATACCACACATATAAAGAATCTAATAAATTTGGAAAATAGCAATACGTTTCAACAGATTTTCCTTCTTGAATTTTAATTAACAATGTAATATGAAAATTTGGTTGAAATCGTTGATTCAATTGTGGTATTGATTATCTATTTTTGCTTAGTTGTTTGGCAATACTAAGAATAAATAACAAAATTTACAAAATATTATATGACAATTACTTGTATTTACTTAGAAAAAACACAACAATATACAAAATATTGCTGGGCTCATTAAAAAATGTATGAAAGCAGGTTTCAGAGAAAGTAAGAGAGAAACCGAAAGAAATTAAAAAAGTTACCTCTGATCCTGTTGTGAATTCGATGTGTCTGGAAGTTCTGTTGTTCCATGGAAGCTAGATCTATCATCTTGAATCTTCACCTGTATTGAGATATAAAATTATTCATGATTATGCCACGATATGGATATGACTAGCAACTTCATTCTGTGATAAAAAATCAACAAAATAAGTTCCAAGAAAATATGCAAAATATTAAGTAGTGCTCTCCCAACCAACATTAAATATTAAAAATATTGATAAAACTGCTTTAACAGCACATACTTTCTGTATTATTTGTAAGATTATATTGCAACTTCTATCCAAATAATACTTTATTTCCCTCTTGAATGACTCTTATCAAATGAAGTTTACAAGGATTTGGAGGTGCGGGAAAGACGTTTACATTTCAACAGCATATTCGCAGCAACAGCAGGTTTTAACACCTCAGAAAATTCTCACACTTCGACTCAAAAATTTATTTAAATTAAATTAAAGCAGTGTGTCAAAAAAATCTTTAATTTACAAAATTTTAGGAGTTTTAATGAAAATTAGGCCTGTGACACTTACATTGGATGGCCACTCATTTCCTGGGGCAAATTTCCCTGACCTTTTCCCATTTTTCATTGCATAAAAAAAAAGTTACTAATTGGACAGCTCTCTGATTTTGCAGTGACAAAACACGAATGAACAACATTTTCTAAGCAAATATAAATTGAGGGGGAAAAAATAATGCAGTACTATTGTTTTTAAGAAATAAAGTACAGTTTTTAACCTTTTCAAATTTCCTGGACTTTTAATGATTTTTCTGCAAATTCCCTGATTTTTCCCAGACTCTTCCAAAGCAATGAAATTACCTGACTTTTCCATGTTTGACAAAAAGTGGCCATCCTGTTACATAAGCACACTTTGCTTTATGTGGGCAAAAGCTGTAAGAAAGAATTTTGAGTTTTTGAGAAAATTTGAGAATGTCCTAGGGGCTTCATGGAAAGCACCCCCAAAAATTAAATGATATTTCATATAATCTAAAAATAGAGAGAGGACATCTCAAAGTGGTCAGAGTATATGCCCTAGAAGGAGAAAAAACTTTTTATGAAAATCTACAGAAAGTTATTTCCCAAATTAATAATAGAGATCATTTGATAATTAGTGGAGATCTAAATGCAAGAGTTGGAAACAAACCAATACCGAAGATAGTTTCAAGAGCAGGCAATGAATAATAATGGTATAGAATTAAGGATTTTTGCCACCTTTAATAAATAAAAAATAACTATCACATTCTTAAGATGTAAAGATATTCATAAATACACTTGGAATGCTAGAGGAGGGAGATCACTCATAGATTATGTTAAAGTTAATGAGAAATTATCAGCCTTAATTCAAGATATAAGAGTTTATAGGAACAAAATTTGTATACTCACATCACTCTTTGTTGTCTCAACTATTAAATCACTATGAAGATGAAAAATCTAAAGCCAAAATAAAAACAATGTAGAAGGATTTAAAAGTATATCTGCTACAAAGAAAAGAGTATTAAAAAGCTAAATCACAGAGACTAGATTATTAACTTAGAAGGTGTACCAACAAGCGATAAATAGAGAAAAGATGGAAAAATATTAAATACACTGCAGAAAAAAGAACTATTGAAAGCCTAGAAAGAAAAGAAGTTCCAGAAAAAGAAAAACTCAAGAAACTGAATGAAAACTTAAAGAAGCATGACAGAAAAAAAAAGCATACTTGAAATATCTTCAAACACGGAACAAAGAAACTAAGAAAGAATAAACTGTCACTATCATACTTAGAGAAAAGCAAAAAGCTATCTTGTATAGCACATCAGGAGTGAGATCACTTCATAATAAAATAGAAAATGATATTCATGGGAACAAGTACAAACTATAAAGTAATGAGACAATCAATCAACAAAAAAGATACGTTCAATTAAACATTATAGATGAAGAGAAATGGCTACAACACTATAATAATTATGGAACAAGCTTACGAAGAAAGGAATAACATGAAGACTGAAGAAGATAATATTGATCCACTAACAATAGAAGAATTGTTACAAGTATTAAAGATAAGAAATATATAAAAGCTACTGGTATAGACTAATATAAACATAGAATTACTAAACTATGGAGTCACTTTTCTCCATTTAAGACTGTAATCTATACAATCAATGTTGGCTAAGAAGTTACATTACTTGAACACAAAAGCGCTAATACACATCTGTGTTAAAAAGGGGATCGAAAAGTGTAAATTATATAGGTTTTAGCTCTATAAACACAAACAAAATCTACAGTAAAATGAATCCAAAAAGGATTAAGAGACATATATGAATATATTATGAGAAGAACAAAATGGCTCAGAAAGGAAAGATCCTGCACACAGATATGTTTTTCTACTGAAACAAATATAAAGAAAAGAAGAGTTTAATTAGAACCGCACATGCAATTCATTGATTGTGAAAAGCCTTCGACCGAGTAAAACAGAAGATTATGGGCATAACGAATCAAAGAGGCTTTCAAAACATTTAAAAAACATAGCTAAAAGTTTATATAAAAATACAAAAATCCGAATAAAAATAATTTCACAACAATCACAACCATTAAAAACTAAACAAGGATAAAACAAGTTGCAAGTTTTCCAATAGTATTAAACATCTACATAGATGAAATTGGAATGGATGTTAAAAGTAACAAAAGGATAGATTGAAGGAATAATTATTATCATCAATATTCTGTCACTTTCTGATTGACCAAGTTATTATGTATGAAAGGAAAATGATCTCCAAATGATACTCTATCAATTAAATCTAATGTGTAAACATTATAACATTAAAAGATCAAACAAAAAAGCAAAATGTCATGGATTTTAAAGGAGTTTATCCATTAGAACCAAAAATATGTCTGGAAAACCAGTAATAGAACAAAATATATTCTTCAATTTCTTGGATGTGATATAAGTTACGACATAAAAAAGATAATTTGCACAAGTTCCAATATATTGCGGCACAACTACACAGAATATTAAAATAATTAGGAAGATACACATTAAAATTCTTATAAAACATGCAACACCATAGTTCTACATGAAAAGGAATTGGACTCTCACAAAAAAAAAATTGAATATTCAAGCTACACAAGATGAATTTATTAAAGAGAATAATATTTGTACTTTATCTCGATAACAAAGAAATGAAAGACATTAGAAAATATTAAATATATTAGTTTAAATGATTGTATACAACTATATACACAATATTGGAAAAAACATTTAGAAAGAATGGAGCACAATAGGCTACCTAAACAAGTACTGCAGAACAACCCAATAGGAAGAAGGAGTGTAGGAAGACGATGCAGAAGTTGGTTTGATATGTGAAGACGGAACAGGTAGCTGCCTAATCCTTGAAGTGTAGAAGAAGATTATTTCACATTCATAAGGCCAGATCAATCATGGAATATTCATTTTTGAGAAAATCCTGAGAAGAGTTTAGGTGCGAGTGTTGCTCACAGATAGATTGACATTCCAAAGAAAATAAAATTATTTTCTGTATCAGGAATGTATTTCTGTTAAAATCTCAACACTGATTTTTTTGTTACATTACATAACTTTCTCTATACTATGTATACAAGAAAGAAATAATCCAATAAATACTTACAAAAGAGGAGTTATTAATTTCTTGGTTTTCATTGTTTTCTTCTCCTGTGTAATATACAGTTCTCCTTGTTCCAGCACTACCAAGGCTTAAGGAACTCTGGGTAAAACCATCAGAATTATGAGTATCTGAAATCAAGTAAGGAAGTTGAGTTTCAAACAGTTTCCAAATTGTCTAATTTCTTAATTGTTTAAGCCAGCTGAGAATATTAAGGCAAGTGGTGTGGTGGCAGTCTCGGACAGAAAGGCTATGGTTTCAAATTCTGTTTGGGCATGGATGATAACCCTCGTAGTGCTGCATGGGGTGGGCTCTCTCATTCACCATGCATCACCCACTTTTCCACACCTATCCCAACTTTCTTGCCCTGCCCGCATGGCTGGAAGCATGTTGAATTGAATTGAATTGAATTGAACTGAACTGAATTGAATTAATGCCTTATTTTACGTGGCGAGACTCGGGCCATCAAGCCCGCTCTTCCGTCTGACCACGCAAATTTCGCTACACTCCTTTCCCCAACTAGCAGAGAATGGAGGTGTTTCTTGGGCAAGAAACAGGCAATTTTGAATTTAGCTCAGAGGCGTCATTTAGGCTTGAGGATCTTTTACATGCAAGTAAATCTACTAACATGGGACAGCTGGCTTTACTTCCCCTCCGAAGGGAAGCGTACGGAGGATTTTTTCACTCTTAAAAATCCACGGCTTCGATCAACCTGCCAATGTTTGAACCCGCCAACTTGGGTACAATAGTCCATTACGCTAACCGTTACACCATCTCCGCACGTGTGTGAGGCGTGTACACACTGCACCATAACAGAGCTTTTCTCTTGAGTCTGTATCCACACCAATAACAATGTGGGACCCCTGCCACTAGGTTGTGCTCAGTACACAGGTCTGGCCATAGCCAGCTCTTCCTAGGTGCACCCGAATGCCTCCTATTCCTCAGTCCATTCCGCAAGTGGTGCAGGAAAGAGTGAAGTTACTAATGTTTGCAATTTTTTTGTTAACTTTTTTTTCTTTTCATGATTCCATATCTGCAAATCACAGATTTGGAAGAGATTTTAATTGCAGATAATTGGTGGAAGTCGCAGATTTGCAATAGCCAGGTCCACTGAACTGACAGGCACCGAGTGGCCTCATCAAACAAAATCTTGGCATCATTTTCATGTTGTGTTTACTTACTACAATGCTATTCATTTTAGATTCTCTCTTTGCTGGACTATTAAAAAAAAATTGGCCTGGATCACCTGGCAAATCGATGATGGATGCCACGAAAACATCCAGAAATATTGTTAGATATTACAGATATGCAAGATATTTGGAGCTTATTGTTGCAACAAATTAATTTGCTGAAGAAATGTACGAGATCTGTTAGCACTTTCAAACTATCTCATACAGCAATACAGAAAAGAACACTGATGTAGAGCTTACCTCTGAGAAGACGAGAACGAGCGTCATCCATACTAGTGTCCGACTCATTGCCACCTTCTCCCGACTCGGACCCGTGACAAGGCTGGGGATGCTCCTCAAGCTGTGAATCTTCTCTCCATGATCTCCGGTTCTACAAATAAGAAGTTTCTTATTAAAACTCCAAAACATTCTAAAGAAAATTAATTTCAAAGCCAAGGAGACAAAATTAAAATGAAGTGTAAGTAACCAAACAATTTTGCAAGAAGCAAGTGTCCTAGAAGAGGTAAAATTTTGAATTTTCATATAAAAAATTGTACTATTGAAATTGTTCAAGATTAATCATTTTACTATGGTTATACACAAAATATCTTCCCAAACTTTATCATACATTAAGATGTGAATTGTCAATAAATAAATTGCAAATACATGAGTTACTTACTCGAGGAACCTTACTCATGAATTCAGATCCAGCTTTTCGAACACGCTTCACTAAGGTTGCTCCAAAACTTTTCCTAAGTAAAAAACATGCCAATCAAATTAGTAGAAGATCCAATAAGGACAAAACATCTGACTATTTTTCATGCAAGATCCTCAACTAAGTTAAATTGCAATAAAAATTATATTATAAGCAAAAACTTAATCTCCAAATAATCAAGTTTTATTCATGGCAAAAAAATCAAGAAACGGTCTCCACTAATAAATGTTTACTTTAAAACTACAGAAATTTGAGGTAAAACAATATCAAGATTTGGGAAACTGATGTGTGTAACACATCTACACCCCCCACACACACCCGCTTGCACGCACGCACACAAACATACATGCACAAAACACACAAGCACTAACACACACACTTTTTAAGAGTGATATTTATAAGATATATCATCACATTAAGAAAAATTCAAATTTTTTCACAGAAGAAAATTTAACATTTGAAACATCTGTATCCTTTTCAAACAAACCACCAGTAACAGTTTAGCACAATCTATTCTTCAAAGCATATTTTATCTATCTCAGTGTTCGACCCCTCATTTTTCACACTGCACCTGATTACGTTATTTACAATTGCATTTTGCAAGTCAACAGAAGCGTGATTTACATCTCCCCAGAGGCTCTTTCTATTTTAAATATCAAGTCACTAGTATTACCTTAGAAAATGACTTTTCATAATCATGATAATTAAAAATGAAACGAGACATATTTTTACCAAAACTTTCCACAAAATGCCACTATACTGATTTTCATCAACAGCTCTTTTAAATAAATACTTTGGAACTGAAGTGTTGAAAGGACAAATTCATTCTAATCATTCTCTTATCTGTTTATAAGAAGCAAGGAATATTTTGTTACAAAGTTCATTTATTTGCAATTTAGAAATATTTGTTGTTGATTTCCATGAACCAAATATGGAATACCAGTTTATACATGACAAAAAACATATGATTGATATTACTCCATTTTAATGTATCTGTTTTAAATTTAGCACTTTTTTTTTTTTTTTTAACATTCATGTACAGAGAAGCAATATAATAAAATAAATGCAAATAAAAGAATTGGAAAGAAAGAGTCAACCCTTGGTTCAATTTAACTCGATTACAACATCAATAAAGTACATGTGGGCATAACAAAACGTTTTGAAAAGGCTCCTTTTATTCAAAAGCTGACCAGTATTGTATCGTAAATAAAACTAGAAGGTGCTTGACATGCAATGGTTATTATATGGCAATGCCAGTGTCATAACCTAAAATGAATTTTATGACCCGAATATTGTACTTGAATGTAGTAATGAATCAGCAGAGAGAGTAATTTGAAATGTCAAAACAATGCCGAGAATGAGGTAAATATTGCTTTGTGAATTGCATTAATGAAACGGGGGAGGGGGATGTATGCTTTTAGGTTGTTTTGGCAATTGGATATTGTAGTGTGGTAGCTACATCATAACATGGTAGAATGTGTAGTAAACAGTTATGTCATCCCTGTCCCAGCCCAACGTCTACCTAATTTTATCCAGTCCTTAGTTCTTTTATTACCTACAATTCCTCTGTTGATGACGCTTATACGTCTTTCCTCTATAAAGTTGATATGATTACAAGAGAATGATGGATAGAGAAGTTCTCTGAATATTAAAGAAAAAATACTGAATACTTAACTAGAAAATGAGTGTGACGAGTAAAATGATTGCATCAATGAAAATACTTACTTTTTGGTTGAACAGCTGTCAAGTCTCCGATAATGTTCCATTATCTTTTCTTCTAGTTTTTCTTTTTGTCGGCGAATATTATTTAATTTATCTCTGGAAAATTAAATATGAAATTAACCATAATCATTCATTGAATTAAGATCTTTGTTTAACCCATTAGTCATATGATCAGATAAATCGGATGTTTAGAATAAAGGCAACAATGACTGTGATTGGAGCCTTATGTGTTTGAGATATACGTGAATTAACACTGGCATTGTTGGAAAGTCATAAATTAAAAGTATACAGTATTGTTTTCAATTTAGAGCGATTAGAGTGCAAGATGGCGCATTAGTTGCGATGTTTCACCTGGAGTTCTTATAATTATATCTAACATTGATTGATATGAACAAATTTGATAAGAAATGAAATAATGAAGGTATGTTTTTGATTTTCATCAGTATTCTAAGTAAATTGTTATAAATAACTAAACTATTTTGAATTAATTTTTGTAATCCGAAATATTACATCACATGCACACAGAACAATTATCACTGTTATATATCGAACTCACTAGTAGACTGGCTAAAAAACTCTATTAATGTTAAATGCTCTCATTTTGCAAAAAAACAGCTGTCAAAATCTGTGGACTATAAAAACTCTTTGCTTTGCTAACAATAAGGTCAACTGCCTCTGATATACCGATTGCAACTTGTACAGTCCAGCGGTTTAGTGTAGTGATTACAATGATTCAACTGAAAAATACTGAAAGAATTATATTAAATGGTGTATTTTTAGTTTATCGGTAGAAGTTACTATTTCAAGTGCATTAGTAGGAATCATTTTATAATAATGAAATGAGTCAATTGTGTTGTGTTCTTAGCTGCAAATAAAACGCTAAGAAAGAAATTTAGAAATATACATCATGGTAAGTGTCAAGTGCATACATTTTTAATTGAAGTACGTGGTCAGGGACAACATTGCTTTTTTTTTTTAAGAAAAACTTATGTGTATGATTCATTTTAAAAACTAAAGAACAATGCTGGCCAAACCCTTTTTTCATATCAATCGTGTTTTCACTCTTACAGTGAATCTAAATATAATAAGAAAAAGATACTGAAGAACTTAAGAAGGAAATCCGACAATGAGGAGAGAATCAGCTTAAGTGTTGTGAAGATTGTATCGACAATCAACCAACACCAAACAGTAAACATAAACCCTTTTTTGGCTCCATCACCATCCATCAGTTTTAAAATTAACAGTGACCACATTTGAGCGTGTTTTTAATTAGCTATGCCTATCTACTGAAAAGTTTTAACAGATCAGGGAAGTGTCAGGGGAAGTAGATATTTCAAATGGAACAAGCTGAAAATTTTGGTAAGCTACCTCTAGAAATATCATCGTATCCCGTATCAAAAAGAGCAAATTGTTAATTAATGGTTTAAAAGATATCATAGTAATAAATACTGAAGTCAATGAGGATAGAACTGAAAAAGTAAAATTATAATGTAGGGCTGCAACATATCTTTTAAAGCATGATGGCAGCTTCAACTGCTGCCATTTTTGTTTCTATATTGAAATCTGTGAAGTATATTTGGTCTTGAAATGACATAATGAATAAATGACACAGGTAAGAGATTATTCTATTAATTTTAAGTTATTATTAAAATGTATTACCTATTATTAAAATATATATATACCTGAAAATCGGTTAAGAAGAGCAAGTAATGACACATTTAGGATCCACTACCTTTCTCTTAAATACAAAATCGTGTTATTTCAGTTAAAAGGAAGATCATGAAACTTCTTTATAAACCAACAACTTTGCTGTTTTAAATATACAGATGATTTTGCAATATTCTTTTTTTGATTATTCATAATTTATTAAATCCACATTCAGAAAAAGTCCTTCAGTCATTCAGTTTCACCTTTTATTAAAGGAACAGGGGCCCCACAAAAATAGTTGGCCCCATGTTGTTTTTGGCTACATAATGAGAAGAGCCTTTAGATACATTTGCAAAAATATTCCAAAGATACCTACGTCAACATTTTCTCTTCCATATGATAATGCTGCTTATCTTCAAGAGAGTGAGTGACTAAATCATGTATTTGACTCAGCATTTGAGACATATGATCCATGAGGACTCTCTTATCATCTTCATAGGAATTATTCATTTGCAGCAACAACTGCAACATTACATGTGGGTTGTAGTCAGTGTAAGTGATTGAAGTGTAAGTAATTGACTAATTCTAGTTCAGCATGTACAAGCTGCCAACTGATAAATTAATAGTAATACAAATTACAAATACAATAATTTAAATTTCTAAAAAGTTCTCTTTTTTGGGGGGGGATTCAATTCCAAGTTTTCAAACAATCCACATCTTGACTATGACAGAGAACGTGAAATTACTATATATACTTGAACAATCTCTGTTCTATTTTTTTTTTTCTTCGATAATTGGAAGTTGAACACTTATCAGTTAAGCCCATTGCATTGTCATTTCTATCTTTTCAAAATCATTAATTCAATCGATCTTTCTTTGGTTTTGCAAACATCAAGGAATTTTTCATTGCACAAATGGATAATTTTAGTTTTTTTCAAGAATTTTTAAAATTAGTCAGCATAAATTAAAATTATATTTTCAAATAAAATACAATCAATTACACCACCAGTACACATCTAACATCTTTTATAGACAAAAACAGCAGGAAAAGGTTGATAGCAAACTTATAAATACATACCTCAAATTTGTTATTCTTCTTGGAGAGCTCTACTTCTAAAGCTGTAATGTGATCATTGCATTTAGCCAATTCCCCTTGTTGCTCTGTTAGACGAAGCTTTAAATTTCCATTCTCCACTCTCATCGTCCTATTCTCCAATTGTGAACTGTGGTACTCCTTACGTAGTTTTTCATTAGCAGTAAATAGCTGCCGGAAGTCATCCTAAATACAAATTAGCAGAAGATAACAACAAAATAATGAATTCTAATACCTAGCATAATAAAACTAATAAGGAAATAGATAAATTCTAAAAATCTCTAATGACAACAGTAGGAAGATTAGATAGCTGTAGCTGTTGTTGAACCACTATTTCGTTAGTAAATGAACACACAGTATTCTGGGTATTTAACAAACAAAATTTTTACAGGGTGTACGGATGAAATCCACAACTATAGTATTTGTATAAAGAATGTTTCATAAAGCAAAAATATGTTTTGTTGGTCTTCTGAGCAGATTGCTCTTATTGATGAATTATAAAAATGTTCTACGCCTACTTTGTATGTTTCCAGATTGAATGAAGTAGTGAAATGTACGCTGGTTAGTAGGATAAAATATTTTACCTTTCGGAAACAAAAAGTTAGTGTAATATGGTTTAGAAAATCAAATATTGATGATTTAATCTTATTTTTTCTTGGAATTTTTCTTGTATTTCTCCTTCATTTTTTCTCAGGGAATCAGAATAAATATCTAACCATGTGTTTTAAGAAACATGAGTACCGTTATGCTTGATATTTACAATAATTTCAATATTTAGAATTGATTAAACAAAAACGAAACTGTCTTAGATGTCACCACAATTTTCAGAGAGAAGATACATACAACAATGACATAATACTTATTATCAAACAGGGAAAAATCAAATATATTATGATGGCAATGTATGCAGTACACCGGATATCTACTGAAGGTGAGGGTTAAGACTCATTAAATGAATCCAGAAATTAAAATCAAACAAAATTACTGCCAAGCAAATTTTGCTGTATGATAGTGAAGCAGCCCCACAAGGAAATACCCAAGAACCAAATTGATTACATCAAGAAGATATAAACTGGACAATGGGGATAGAAGGAAGAAACTAAACCACAAACATTAAAGATACGGAAGAGTATCAAAGACTGGCAAAGCCAATGTGAAAATAATAAAATCAAACCCAAACCCCCAAGGTGAGTAATGTGGAAGGAAATAATCAACAACCAGATTGTATTAACCCAACACATCATCAAGAAAAGAACAAATAGGACTATTCACACAACCAAAAAAACAAATAAAATTACAGAAATTATAAAATTCAACATAATTACCTTTAGACTGGAGTGCTCTGCCCTGAGATTTCCTAAAGAATGTGATTCAGTTTTAAATTTATCACTCTCCTGTTGTAAAGAAATATATTCTTCATGTTGTTTCTCGTTTTGAGTCTTCAGCAATCGTATTTCTGAACGAAGATCACGTATGGTACCCTTTAGTCCCTCTCGCTCGACACACAAGCTCTCATACTGAGTAGAAAGCACTTCATGCAATGACTGGAGAGTATCTTGATCCTTAAGAAGTTGGTTGTGTGCAGCCTGCTGCAATCCTTTTTCCTTCATCAGCTAAAACGAAAGATGGAGAAATAAAATTACTAAGTTAACTAAAAAGGATGACAGTCAAAATCAGAAGGTATCCGAAGTAAAATTTCAATAACATTATTATCAGGACAACAAAATCTCTTAATTTTAAATTTATTTTTATATACTTGATAAAGTAGAGATGTCCTAACCATCTAATACCTAAGCAGCTGTACCTGAAAATATGAATGTACAATAAGAGGGGGAAAAATGCCTAATTATATGTAGTAGGAGAATCAAAAACAATGACTGGTAACAAAAGCACTTCACATAAAATTGAATAATCTTATTTGCCTTTTTTTCCTCATGATAGCACATAATCTGTAGAGCCACTTGTCACTACAGGAGACAGTAGTTAGTATGCACTTATTTTTTTATCAGGTTAGCCTACCTGTCTTCTCAGAGACCCACCCATCCCAACACATTACAAGTTTAATGCATTGCAAGTTCCCAGGTCATTCTACCCTGCCTATATTTCCACTCATTCCATCAATCCTCTCCATCTTTGGCTGTCAAAGATAGCCCATAGATCTTTTTAAAAGTCTATTATCATATTTACCCAAATGTAAGTTGACCTTGAATATCAGATGAGTCTTAATATTGAAGAGGTCTTCTAAGAACTTTTTTCATTTTTAACTAATTGTAACTAAACACAATCACAATAAAACTATCAATGGTATTATTGACTACAAAAATCTATGATTTATTTGTGTAATTTCTATTTTCTTCTTCATCATCAACATCAGCATCATTGCCAACAACACCGTCACTACTTTGTTCACCTTCACATGTATTGTATTTTTTCTTCCTGTTCCTCCCACAGTAGGTCATCTTCTCAGTCATCAAGTGCTTTGGATATGGAGCTCTTCTTGAAAACCTTCAAATAAAGATTCTATTCCAAGCAGTGGCTATCCATTCTCCCAGCTTGTATACTGAGGGCTTCCTTAATTTCACTCCGGGAGTGAGAGCATGGTTTGCTTCAAGAAGCCAGTCATTATAAAGTTGTCCGAGATGATCCTTGAATGGTTTGTTTATAACAACATCCATAACTTGTAGTTGTTTGTCATCCCACCAGGAATTATTACCAGGCCAGTGATACTTGTTAATATCAGTTCTCTAATGTCTTGCATGATGTGTCCCTTCTTGCATGATATGAATTCATTTAGAACCAGCATCCCTCTCTTTTTCAGCAAATAGTCTGGTCATGCATTTCAAACAACCTGCAACCAATCACCAAGTATCACATCATTGGTCATCCACCCTTTCCCTTGACATTTGAAAACAAACCCTGTTGGCAGTTTTTCTTTTGGCATTCATTTTCTGTGCAGAATCGCACACAGAGACAGCTACCTACCATCAGCCAGAACACACAGTTTAGCTGTTATTCTGGCCTTTTCATTGCGGGTGCTTCTGATGATTACACTTTAATCACTTTAAGATTTTTGGTTTCAACTGTTACTTTTGATGGCACGTCAAAACAAACAAGCATCTGGTCTGCATTGTCAATTTACTGAGCAGATAGCCATGTTCTTTCCATAATTTGAGACAAAGACATTGGAACCCAATTATTTTTCTTCAAGAGCTAGTGGAAGTCCCTGAGCTATACTATGATTACGTTACAGAGTCCTTTGGCAATTCATCAGCTGCTATGATGTCACCCATCTGGGAGCTTGAACGTCACAATGGTGACATTTAACCTACCGATTGGATGACACTATAACAACTGATGATCTGACAATGGACACTGTAAATAAATCAAAGTATAGAGTTGTTCTTAGCCATAATATCAGATTAGCTGCTTTCGTTAATCTTGCACACCAGTCCATACTCACTTTGAAATTTTCATCATCTTGTAAAAGAGTATCTTATTTAAGTGCCTTCTCTCAAGAGATTCCAACTGCTCCAACTTCATGCTGCTTCAACTCCGGAAATCTTACTTTTTTTATGTCTCCTAAAAGTATTACATGTTGAATTTGCATTCTCTAATTCTTCCAGCAAAGCTCTTGTTAGTGGCCTCATTTTCTTTCAGAATCTTCAAATCTTCAGAGACTTTAAATCTGTATCATACTGTCTGCACAATCTAGTTGTCAACTGCAAACTCGTAGGTCCCTGTACTTCCACAGAATTTCGGGCACAACTTCTGTTCATTGTTCTGTTGTGTTTAACTTACAATGTCATTCATTTGATAATCTCACTTTAAATATATTGGTCTGAAGTGGTACAGCATGTCCGAGTTGACACTGTGAAACAGAACAAAAAATTTGTATTCAACATGTGCCTGTGACAGAAGCACCACTACCAGAGCATGGACTGTGAGTCCGCATGCCTCAGGATGAGGAATCACTTCAGTTTACACTGCTATCATATTAATACAATTCCATGACAAGTCTGGTCTGCCTTTCTGTTGGCAAGGATGCTGAGAAATAGGTGATGAATAAAAGTTCATCCACCTGACGCTTCAGTCAGCAGTTACGTGCAAGGCTATTGATGTCCAAACTTTTGCTCTCCATTCATTCTTCCAATAACCTCTAAAAACAAACATCACTCAAAACTGCAGTATTGACATTCCTTGTCACGTTAATAGAGGAGATAGATGAGCATGACTTATTAACACCTTTGCAGTATATTGATTCATCAGCTTACAAGTTTTTCAGCATAGAAAACTGCTCACTGGCTAAGCTTAATCTGTGAATATAAGAACCCTCCAATTTCTGAATAAAGAAAAACATTGTCATACATTTGGATATATACAGTAATAGTGATTATTGCCAAAGCATACCCAAAGCCCATCTTCGCTTAAAATAAGCAGTTCAAAGGTAACGCTCTAAGTCTTATTGACTAGAAAAGAAGTGGGATTAGCGGGTAATCCTTGGTGTTCCGGTCTGTCCCACAGTGTCAAAACATATAATATCCATGCCTTATAAGTGGGATTCGAACCTAACATACACTCAGGCACAGCTTCCTCAAGCCCTACATCACTAGGTGGGTAAGGAATAGAATGAAGGATTGAAAGATGATATATGTTGGGAGCACCCAACAATTACAGAACAGGAAAGTAAACATCCATGCCCAAGGCTGGATTCAAACCCACACCCCTTTGAACCAAGACAACCAGCTTATGGTTGTTTTAACAATTTCAGCTACATATGTCACCCCTGAAGGAAGAAGGAACTATAAAATTTTAATGCTAGTACTCCTGAACAAACCTCATCTTTCTCTGCTGCCAGCTGTGAATTGGCTAGCTGCAATGCTGTATACTGAGTAGAGAGCGACGAGACCTGTGACTGGAGGGTAGACACAGTTACTTGCAGCTGGGCATTGTCAGACTGGAGAGTGTCAGCAGTGCTTTGCAGTGCCAACAGCTCTGACTGCAAGTCTTCACTGGACTGGTTGATGCCAGCTGCAGAGTCAGTACTTGCACCCACAGGCTCCCCTGCTGCTCCCTCTTTCTCCAAAAGCTCCTTCACACCACGCACCACTTCCTGGCTCAGAAGAATTCTGAAAAATTGAGTACATAACTTATGGACTAGATCATGGCAATTTTACACATATTTACAAATAAATTCTATTATGACACATAAACAAACAAGTTTTTTAATAATGAAGGGAAAAGATACATAAAGGAACTAATCACACCCACCTTCCACAGTTTCATACAAATATGGACTCTTTGATCGTCTTAAACAATAAAATGATTAACGTTATCCATTTTATCTCAGGGCCGCTTTGGGAAAAGGTTGAGGGGTGGGACTGGTTTACTGGGAAAAAAAGAGGTGTATTAAAACTCAACCCCAGGCCTTAAAACCAAACAACATTTAAAAAAATTCATATTAATTTCTTACTTAAAGCAATTACTGAATTCACAATCAGGAATGTTATATCAAATTATTCAATAAGACCCTGTAAATGTTGGAAAAATTGAATAGTTTCTTCTCAGAGAAGCAAATTACCCATTCCAGTAAATTAAGAACTTACCACAAATTGTAATAAACATCAAAAAAAGCATTATTAAAAATTCCGAGATAAGTAATGAAGTTCCTGACAGAAGATAAGGCAAATGCCAATAATAAAAAGTACCTTTGTTTTAGAAGAGACTTCATATAAATTATATTTACAGTTAGTCAACTTGTTGCCAAACTAATATACGAAACAATGAAGCAATAATAAGATGGAATTTCAATTCTTCCATTTTAATCATGTGTACCTGTCTAAAACAGTTTCCGGATCTTGCAGTTGGTCAGGATCCAAGCCTAACTTCTCAAAGGCATGGCGCAGCTGCTGTGCCCCTAGCTTGTGCCTCACCAGTTCATTCTGCAGAGTACTGAGGGCTTGGCGGTCAGCTGCAGCTCTGCTTGCTACCTCCTGACCCTCTCGCTCCACCTCCTGTAGCCTGCAGGGCACAAACACACAGGAATATAATGAAACTTTGTACAATATTACTAAATAAAGAATGTATTCATTCTCATTATTTTTACTATCTTCATTAATGTCCTTTAAATTTGCTAATTTATTTTTCAAACTCTACCATCTTTGCAGCATCACTGCAGTACGCATACAAATTGTGTAATAAAACTGTTCATCAATGAAAGTTCACACTCACAATCCATAAACTCATTTGTGACATTCGCTCCAGTAAGCATCTACCTGGACCAAGAGTCAGCCCAATCAACAGAGGAACTTATGATTCCAATTCCTTGCCCACATTTCCCCCAAAATGGTGTAAAGGGTTATGATAGCAGGACATACAAAAAGGGATCATGAAGATACCAGATACAGAGGGGAACGGAGTGGTCTTGACTGGACCAGAGTTTTGCAGGCAGTGGACATTGCGGACCCTTGCAGAACAGACGCATTCCTTGCGAAGCTCAACCTATGCAGAAGCTTTGTGTGGGGGAAAGGAGCAGAGTGGAGTGGAGCACAGCACATACACAGTCATTAAAACAGTAGCACGCATGGAACATGTCTCATCTCTGCATTTGCACCCTTGCATCACACCTAGCTCCCCTGAGTATGCAGCCTCCCAGCACCTTCCCAAGGCTATTCGTGCAATTTTGTGCATTCAGCATTTTTTTTTCTCCCCCAAGGTAATTTCTAGTACCTCAAGGATATTTCTGATTACAGAGCTGCCATCATTACAGAACTTCTTTGAGTTTTGTCATGATTCTATACGTAGTATATTATTTGCAAGTACATTAGTTAACATTAGTTACATTAGTTGTATTTGTTATACACATGTTTGGTATTTACCCAAATATAAGATTAGTTTTCTAAATATCTCAGTCCAAAAATGAAGGGTCGTCTTATATTCATAGATTAAGCCTAGTCGGTTAGAGTATAAATTTTAACCTCGCCAATCCATCCAAAATCTCAAATGAATGGCATTGTATCAAAAGAAATATAATATGAAAATGAAAGCAGAGATTCTGTTACAGAATGCTGGTTTGACGAGGCCACACGGAATCGCGGAACAACGCACAGTGAGGGTGAATCTGGTTTTGAGCTATTAAAGAAACAGAGGCCATCAATAAGTGTAGAATGGATAGAAAATATGGTGACACAGAAAGGAATGTTCTTAGATGGTGTCTGATGAAAGACTATGAACAATGCAAATTCAATGCACAAAACTTTCAGAGGAGCCGAGAAAGTCAAAAGATGTTGCAGCATAGAAGGACCAAAAAGAAAGAAACATTGGTTTCTACGAAGATCATGAGAGTAGGTATGATTATGATGATTTTCAGGAACAAGAAAATAACAGTTCAGGAATAAGTCTTAACACATTCATCAACAAGGCAATTTTGTAGTCAATAAGTCTATTTATAACTTTGTTTAGACTACACAATAAGAAATAGTTAAAAGATAATTGTAAAAATTCTCATGAAGCCTCTTCAAAATTAGAGGGTCATCTTATATTCAGAGTCAACTTATATTCACATAAGTTATTTTCTCTTCCGTGTTATAATGTTCTAAAGAAGGCAATGTGAAGGTCAAATTAAGGGATTTTTAATAAAACATTTTACCTCTCATGATTCAATTTCAGTTCAAACTGTTAGTTTCCTTGAAATATGTGCTAACTAAATTCCCCTGAATTTGTGTAAACACAGGTTCAACACAAGTCTCCAGATGAATTATTTTTATATACAATGCAATTACTTCCACCCTCAAATTTGATTTACCATATACACTCAAATATAACCTGCATATTTTTTTCAAACATTTCGGGTCATATTCGAGTATATACGATAATAGTAACAAATACCTTGTAATTTGCAAGAAGGCATCATCCAAGTCCTTTTTCATCCTTGCCAGTTCCTTTTCTTGCACAGTAGCTTCACTGGTCCTCTGGTCCAGAGCTACGTCCTTCTCCTAAAACCAAAAAAATTCGCTCATGGAGGATGGGTCAACTTTCTATCCCTTTAACACACATCAACAGTTAAAAATATTATTTAATGCTTCTGCACATTATTAAATGTAAGGGAGTTCAGAATGCAAATGAATTTGAGGTTGTGAAAGAAGAATATTAAAGATCATAATCAATTTGGTTAACTGATGCAGAAAATTTTTAATGAGGACAGAAAGAATGCTGCAAGATAAACAATAAGAGTGAATAACATTGTTAAGGGCAAGAAGTATAAAAATTTCATTATTAAATAAATTAATTTTATAATTCATCACTAAAATTTCATTAAAACCCATACCTCAACCAAACTCCTCAGACGGGTCACTTCCTTCTGCATCGCAGCATTCTCCCTCTCCAGAGTCTCCAGTTTGGCCTTAGCTTCGTTGTACGTGGCTTCAATGGCTGGGACCCGCTGGGCCTCTGCCTTCCACTCCTCAGCCTGCTGGGCGCTCGTGTTGGCCAGCCGCTCCTGCTCTTCCAAGCGCCTCTGCAGGCTACTCGCAGAGCTCTGCAACTGCTGCTTCTCCTTGCTCACACCCTCCAGACTCTTCTCCAACTCCTCCACACGGCTCTTCTCCACCTGCAGTCAACAAGGGGCTTATTTAGCAGAACTCAAAGAGGGAAAATGGAATCAGAAGCAAAACTGAAGGAGTACATAGGCTGCACAGCAACAGCCATGCTCCAGTCCACATGGATGCAACAGACCAATAGTCATTGGTAATGCTCAACTGTTTTAAAAAAATCTGTCAAAAAATTGTCTATAGGGTTTGATATGAGTACATTCCAAACATTTTTAGACAGACAATATTTCCCAACAATATCTGGTAAGGTAATAAAAATGGTAACTGGGTAGTTTATCATTAAAATATAAAATGTTATTTGGTTCTTTAATACTAGCTTTGATCAATTGGGCTCCATTTCTCACAACACACAACATTAAGTGAAATTCAGATTATTCCCTTTATGAAACCTCTTAATGCAAAATTACTTAAAACAACAACACAAACATTCAGAGTAATGGTTATTATTTTTAATGAGAAACCATGAAATATTTAAAACCAAAAATTTTAATGTAATTAACTGTTTATGGCTAAGACTGTAAAACTAATATTTCACCCTCTATCAATGCCTCTTCATTGTAAACATCTCTATAAATTCAAACAATTTGAAGCTAAATAATTCTTGTAACTCTTGGTGTGCTGTATCCCAGTGCGTTCACATCTATTGGTGTCTTGCAATTTCTTGCCACGACTTCCCTAAAATGTGCTCCAAATCTCATTTGCTTGACTCAGTCTTCACATTTTTCTTTATTGCTCACCTAATACAAAACAAAACAAACAAATCACAATTCTAAAAAATTAATTGTCAAGAATACATTTTGTTGTTCTTTTCTTGTCTTTACACAATCAATTCCTATGGATGAAAAAATATTCCTTATATATCTTTTTTATCGCCTGTTTTACAAGAGAAGGAAGACATATAATCATAATGTGAGTATGTCTTATAATAAATAAGTAGTATTTTATGTTTTGAGAGTAAATATAAAATTGAGGAATTTAATTACACTCTATCAGGGTTTGCACGAGATTTTATTTGTAGTTTAGAAAGTGAAAAAGTCTGCCCAGTGTCGCCAAAACTTAATATTATATTCCACGAGAACATATATTAAAGATTAGGAAACTTTTGAACACTCCAAAGCTATTAACATATCAATACTAAATCAAAACATATAGCAAGGCACTGTACGAAAATAAAATATTCCCCATCTCAGAAATTCAGCTTCTTTCATCACCTTTATTGACAGTTTCTTTTTCTCCTTTTCCAGCTCCAAAATTTTGTTACTGCTCTCGTGAAATGAAGATTCTTTCAGACTGTCTATGGCTGAGAGAAGCCTCTTGTTCTCAAGCTCCAAGCGTAATGCCCTGGCTTGAGCATTGCTTGTCAGCTGCTCAGACAGACTGTTGTCACCTGATCCTAAAATTCAGAAAATTTACAAAATAAATAAATTGTTCTGATTAAAACTAACAGGTTCAGCATTTCCTTAAATCTCTAAGCCCAAAATGTTCCAAACACTGTCTTACTCACACACTCTGTTACTCATGTAACCCAGGAATGATGAGTTTACTTGTGTGGGTTATCTGTTTACCCAATCTTAGTTCACCAAAACGTGATGTATGATAGTATAGAGAAGAGACAATGTATGGTACAATGTAATACATTCATCCATTGACCATAGATGGTCAGTCAAACAAACGTTTTGCTGTCCATGAATTTCTCAATATCAAAGACCCACAAAACATGGATTCATTCTACCCCATGATTTTGAGGACACAATTTACTACAGTAGAACCTCTATTTAACATCATCTCAATAGGGCCTAAAATTTTTACATTAAAAAGGGGTATTCTTTGAAAAAACAAGTTAAAATAAACCAAGAGTTATCGTTGTTTTGTTTTTTTAATGCTTGATTTTTATCGTAAAGATTGTCCATAAATTATCTAACACTAAAGATGAGAGGAGGTTTGAGGAGACATTACACTGAATTACTTAGGGGTAGGGGTCATGGTTTAGTGTTATGTAATGCTGATATTTATGTTTGAAATGTTTCAACATTTACTAAAATAATTTCTTTTATCCAGTCTTGAAATAAAACATAAAAATTATTATATACAAATGATATGTACAAAAGTTGATATACAAATTGTTAAAATAAATAAAAATATTTTTAATTGCATCCGTTAGATTACGAAGAAAATATACGGCACAGTAGACGCATGGCCTCGCAGCCTAGGCATCATCCATGCCGACAACAAGTACATGACAAATTTTCTCGACTAAGCATTCTTCCTTCAAAATGTTCCTAATCTTATTGTAAAATGGAGTAAAAAATTTGATGTTCTCCAGCGCATGATTACACAAATTTCTCTTCTTATTAAGTCAGTGCAAGAAAGTAAAAATCAACCAATAAGTTGGTATCATAGAGACAAACCTACTTGTGATTCACAAGAAGTATTCTAGTCTCAAAATCTGTATAATAAATTTATTCTGAACCAGTGGAGATATGTACACTTTAAACATCGGGTCAATTAATGTTAAGATGGGCTGGTTCACCTTCTAAATATCAGTACCAATATAGAGAATTAAATGCAGTTTTTGGTAGGTTGAGTATGAATCATCAATGCAATTCACCCTTGTGAACGAGTTCTGGAAGAGCACTGTGTTCTTTAGGCTTTAACAATCGTTGTTCTGTGGTGATTGTAGAACGTATGGGATTTTAGCGATCCCCATAATCATTGGGCACTTAACGATCCCCTTCCATCATGAATTACAGTTTCACTATACTAGTGACCATGTGAGAGAGGCCAGGACTTCGGCCTAAAGCTGTCTAGTAGTGAAAAGAGTAATACTAGGATAATGAACAATTTGTAAAATTGAAGCTTAAAAACATGAATTCAGTCTTGTCATTTTTTCACAAAGCCTCACAACTGTGACCTGAGGGAACTGGCCATACTTCCTTTCCAAAAGAAGACATTCAAAGGAGGTTTTGCCTTTAAAAATCCATCAAGGTGAATTCTGATTGACAGTCTGAACACAAACCACTATACCAATAAAGCAAATCAAAACATTTAAAATTAAGTATTCATTACAAGATGACTGTAACCATTCATTTTACAGAACTAAGCATCTTTTCACACGTCAACATGTTGCTTGGCATATTGCATCAAACATTGATGGGTGAACATGTCTCCCTCTATATAAAGGCACTGCAATCGGAATAAATAGAAACTCAACTTTATAAAAATTAAAAATGGTTTATTACAAAAATATTAAAAGGAAAAATTAATGAAATACATTTTAGGCTTTAAGGATGTGCAAATGCAGCAAAAAGCACAAAGAAACTCATTTAGGAATGGTGTACATAAGACAAGATGGAATACTGGAAAGATCAATCAAGATTAGCCTTTTGAATGCTCTGGACAAGTTGATACGCAAAACATTTCCATGCGTGGTAGTCTCTGGACGAGTTATTGGGCTCAGTCAGGTTGTCACTGGGAGCCTCTACGTGAAACTGCGATGTTCCGGGAGCCTCTGGACAAAGTCGCCCGTGCAGACATGCTTTTGGCTATCATTAGTACTTGCTGATAATGGAGATGAATCGCACGGTATCTATGTGCGAGCAAGCTCAGTTCACAATGGGGCCTGCAGCATGAAGCATGGTGCACGACGCATGACTCACACTTGGCTGGCCTGTAGAAGTATTGTTAAGGTGCCAGGCTTAGATCAAAAAGGCAGATCAGATAGTCTTAAATGATAACCGGCATGATAAGAGGTGCTTAGGGAAGCAAGTTAATGTTTCGCAATTTTAGGCTGATAGTTTAGACAAGCCATTAATAGTTATAGGAAAACAAAATGTGATGATAAAGGAATATTTTGAGACTAAGTTTTATTAATTCGGAGAATTTCAGACAAAGATATCATGTGTGAAGGCATTGTTCACCCTTCAAGACATGGGTGTAGCATCAAGTCAGTGGTCAATATCATGAGTGTAGCTTTGATTGTCTAGGGTCAAATCTGCAGTCAACATTCAATGAAAGAAATGTAAACCATTATGGGAAGATCAAGTTCTGTAAAACAATAAATTATTTGAGCACTACTCCAGGTTTTGTTTTCTAACAAATTAAAAAAGAGAAAAGAATACAATATTTTTGTGATTACAGAAAAATGTTGTTTTATTTGTAATATCATATCCATGTAATCACAGTTACCTATACCTTCTGGAAATGAACAAAAACAAAATTTAGATATAAAATAATCTCAGAAAACCAGAACCCTTCAATGGGATCGCATCTCATTAAAAATATAAATTTTCTACCGAAGCATGGAGTCAGAAATGTAATATTTGAGTTCAACTATATTAAAGTCAAACTGTACTACTCTCATGAATACATAATCCATTGTTGGAACCAAAACATAAGAACAATTGAATATCAACAAACCTCCTTCCATAACATCTGCACCATCACTCTCCCCATCGCCTTTTGTTGCTGAGCTGCTGCTGTCATTAAGAGCTGAACGTGCCAGAAGTTGTAGTTGAGCATTCTCTTCAAAAAGTTCTTGGAGTTTGTCTTGCTGAGCATCTCGCTCTAATGTTAGCTCATTAATGTGCTGCTTGCATTTGAGAACATCTCCCTCCAATTGCAGAACATGATCACCTCGACGCCTTGCAGATGCCAGCTGCTCCTCTAACATTTCACGAGTTTCCAACAGGACTCTGGATTCGCCAAAGAAATTCAAAACTAAATTATTCTCAAGAGTGTGCTCATACATTAATCTAGTTTGATTTATGCACTATGGTTTAAGAACTATTACGTTCATCAGTAAAAAACACTTTAAAATTTCAAAACCATTATAAGATAAAAGAATTTTTCTCATATGACTGGATTTCTTATAACTTTACTTACAGTACCCTTCAAAATAGATTACTGTCAATGCAAGGCTACTTACATTACAAATAAATAATTTTACAAACTCACCTATTATCTTCTCTCAATTCTTCCACTCGTGTTTTGTAGAATTCGATGTCACTTAGTTTTTCTCGATAGCGCTGTACCTCCACCTCCAGCTTATCAACCCGTTCAGCACGCTCTCTGACAGCATCAAGCTCATCCCTATATGCCTTTGCAGCTCTGAAAGCAACGCCAATTATAGTTATTAAATTTGAATACATTAATATTTCTTTGTTGCTTGGGGATGGATGTCACTGCAGGACGAAAGTGACAGAGACCCATAAACATCCCTGCTGTGCTATGCCGGACACACTTTAACGTCTGTCATTTGACTGTGTCTGTGACCATAGCCTTAGATCTAGTCTTGAGGTGAGAAGGTTAACTTACCGAGCGTCCTGCATGAGCTCCTGAACTTCTTGGCGCAGCCGTGTAACAAGAGCCTTCTGATGCTCCAGGTCCTCCCTGCACTCTGCCAGAGCTTCAGACTTCTCCTCCAACTCCTGGCGTTGCTTCCGAAGACGGGCCTTCCAGTCTGCCAGCTCAACAGCCAAGTGGTACGAGTCTCCACTGGTACCTCCTGAGGCAGAGGCTTTCCGCTGGGCCTCGCTCGGAGACCCATTGGATACGGAGCTCTCCCCTCTGTCCAGAAGGACTAAGCTGGTCCAATGCTTTAAACACAAGAGTCAAATGAAATACAGAGGTCTGTACACCAGATTGCTACATGCTGTTGAAAAACAACCATCTGTGTCTGACAGGCTACCTGGCCATTTTCAAATGCTATTTTCTCCCTTCTAATTTTAATACATTATTACTTAGAGAATGTGGATGACAAACTTAATGCTGGTAAGGGTGGTTTGGTGGGTTTGAAAGACTCCTGGATTTCCAAATACCATTGAAATTGCTACAAGTGAATGTCATCAGGCAACGCCAGATGCCACACAACTGATGGTTGGTCACTGCTTGCCCAGTGGCTTTATGCTGGCTTCCAAGTTTCACAATAGTAGCAGGCAAAGCAAATACGTTCCCTTCTAACTCTGAGTACTGGTAGGTAGAACTGTGAGCAGCAGTTGGCTGTTTTTATCAGAATGCAGAGGTCTACTGTACATCTACCAACTTTTGAACATATTAAAACACCTATCAATAGTTTTCAATTTACCAAACACTGTTTAATCAACTACATTGAAAATGGACACAGCAATCTTTTTCATAGATATTTCTCAGCATGCACTGAAATTTGTTTTTATATTTTAAGATAAAATATGGCTAAAATGCTAATTTCTACTGGCAACTAATATTATTTTGTTCATATTCTCCACTTATCACATTGTTGCAATAAGTGCTTCTAATTTCACGGCTAATTAGTGTTCATTTTTTTACCTGCAAATAATCATCCCTCTCCTTGACCAATCTTCTAATGTGATTCACCATCAAATCAGATGGGAAGACATCAGTCGCCTCTTGTGTCAAAACTATGTGATGATTGTCAGTAACCTACAAGAACAGAGAAACATTATTATGGATGGAAAAGAGATAATTGATCCACTGAACAACAGGAAATATGAAGAAAGACAAAATAATAGAAACAAATGTTTTAGTATCAAGGATGAAATGCCATTTTGTTTTGTAACTTAAGTATACTTCCACAAATTAAATTTTAAAACAGGAAATAATATTAATATTATATAATAATTTTCAAATCAAAAGATTGAAGACGTTTGAATAAAGAGTTACTGATTCTGAAGTATTTAAAATTTAAAGCTGTTGACCAAGTCAATTACGCAATGCAAGAATCAAATAGTTATGTACAGACAGTAGTGACACGAGCCTCAAGAATGATGTTGAAAGAACAAGCAGAGCAACATCTTCAGAAAAGAGAGTAATGACTGGACAAAATGGATCATGGTAATAATAAATTGAAATGGAATACACTGCACTTAAGATAATTCATATATAATCCTGACAATAATTTTGAAAGGTTTGTCATTTTCTCTGCTTTTAAGTGTGCCTTCAAATCTGATAGAAATAAAGCATGCAAAAAGTCCAATGTTTCAAGTTTTAGGAAACATCCGTAAAGACACATGTAAATGAAAGTTTGCAGGGGTGTTTGGCCAGCAACATGAATTTTGGCTTTGAGCAACTTACAGTAATTGAAAACTGATACTAATTTATTATAAGGAAATAATTTAAATATTCTATGGAAATTTCCGTAAGTCATAATATATGACATCACTGAAACCCTAGCAAACATTTGTCAGAATCTTGGTCCTTTGTGATCCACTTGTAGGTGTTTTGTAAATGCATGTTGGCCAATGAAACAACTCTGTCAAGTGAAATGACTCGGTAAGGTGACAATATCTCAAATGACACTTGTAGAGCAGATGTAGGGCTTCATACCAACTTTCCCTCATTTTTCCTAAATACTTCTCACAAGCATGATTCTTTCCTTCCTTTCCTTTGTGTAGAAAGACAGCATACAATCAATAACAATAATTAAACAATTCACTTTCTACTTTTTTTGTTGACATAATATTCAGAAGTATTGTAATGCTGCATAAAAATATATATCAAGATTTTGACAGGAATACAAATTTTAGGGGAACTACTCTATAGACAGGAATGTAAATTTCACAGGAACACCTATCTATAGACAACATTAGCATCTAAACCAAATTTGAAAGAGATCTTCTAATTTTAGGATGTAATTTACGTGAAATTCTTACGACATTGTACATTTTTTTTAAACAGCAGCTCTGAAATTTTTCTTAACCTTTTTGTTCAAATAGTGCAAAGTGCACTTTTTTCTCTCTTCCAAAGCTGTCTACCTTCAATACTGAAGTTAATTTATTATTTAATGGGACAATTTTTTAAAGCACATCTTTTCCACATAATTTTGAGCTAATTCTCCACAAATGATGTCCACAAGATTTCTGCAAAAATAGCTCGATACATTTTGTGGCATATGTCCTGTTTTCAATAAAACTTCAGAAGTATTTGTAATTTTCCAAACAATTTGTGTGGTAATATTTATGATAGAGATGTCTCCTTTTTTTAATGTATTCATTTTGGACACAGACACTTCAAGTAACATCTTAAGAAGTTTCTCAAAACCTCAAAAGGTTTTGAGTAATAGCTTCTTCTTAATCTTAAGTAATAAATCTATTGGTTATACATTCTCGTGAGTGAGTAATCTCCTTTGCTGCCTGTTAATTTCAAAGTTGTGGTACATCCCAAGGATTTCCAGGGCAAATTTGTTTTCTTTAATTTTTTTCCTCAAATAGGTCAAAGTGTGTTTATAAATATCACATAGATAGGATTTTCACTAAAACATCTGAACTTTCAAAAATTGCAAATCTGAATCTCCCAAACTCATTTTGATGAAGATACTTTCTGTAAGAGCTAGCAAAAGAATTATTGAAACAAAATTGCATTGTTATAATAATTAATAATCGTTACAATAAAATGAGAAAGTATATTATGTTGTAGGTCTGCAGACATCTTTATTTTTCCTTCCACACAATTTTCCAGGTCACGCAGATCCTAACAGAATAACCCCATGAGAAAATAACATGTTATGAGACAAGTGACATCTGGATAACGTTGTCATATCATACACATAGGAATAAATAAGAAACAAAAAGAAAGAGAAAAATACGAAAGGCTGCAAAGAAAGAAGCATAAAAATTGAAGTAACCTGCTTAATGCAATCCACTATGTCGTGCTGCACGTCCACATCCAACGCCTTGATGTGCTCAATAAAGGTCTCCTTATTGGGGCATTGCACAGCACAGCCCAGGAGCAACAGTAACAAGAGCTGCATGTTCTCCAAGCCAGCCTTGCTATCCGGCTCTCGGCCTAGCTTCACGCAGTCTGGCAACACCAGCACCACCTGGCCCAGCTCCTCCTCATACAGGCACTTGATATTCTTGATGAGCACGTGCATGTTCTTGATTCTGATTACATGGTTCCCATGGCTAGGTGAAACGCCATGATGCATAGGCTCTGGATCTCTAAAAAATTGAAGAATATCCTTGCTTAGTGGACAGCGCAATGTAAGAAGTTAAACAAAACAGTAAAGGAAGAAAACTAAATAAAACATGACATTAAAATTAAGCTTCTTATATTACTCGAAACAAACATTATTATTACAAATACTTTCACTAAGTTGGTACTTTGAAAAATTAAACTGTACAGAATTTTTAGTTTTTTTAAAGTTTCTTCTATTTAATTCACAAAGTGGAGGAGGAGAAAATCAATTGGAATATTCATCAGAGGGGAAGTGTATAGTTGTACCTACATAAAAGAGTGAGAGCAAGTGTACAAGTTGTTATAAAAAGGGAAGAGGGAAAATGCTTCATTTTGTAAAGATGATTAGGCAATGCAAAATGCATTATTAATAAAAATGATTAACAAAGAACTGCAGAGTGGTAAACTTGATTTCTATACTAGGAGGGTCCGAATTCCACAGCACCTCAAAACTTTAAAATAATTCCTGACGTCTACAGAAAATACTCGCTAACAATAATATTTTACAATCTTTATGGGAAAACCAACTTAAGTCTTTTTTCATATCAGAAAAATTCAATGCCATTTAACAATTTTTATGAAAACAATAAATTCTGTTCAAAGCATATTGTAGGTTGTTACTATGTGGCCACCACTCTTTCTCTTTTCAAAGATCAACAAAGTAGCCCTACGATACTCCTGGTTGGCCATTAACTGAAATAATTAATACATCAACAGTCACAGAACTTACATTTGGAGCAAAACCTCATGGATAAGGGTTCCATCAGCTAAATCTTCATATTCAGTCAACCGATCAGGATTATCCAGGCACGAGCAAAACTGAAAACAACAAATGCAGACGACTGTAGTATGGAGACTAAAAGACTATTTGAGATGGAAATGTGAAGATTCTCAGACCATCACATACATAAATCATATTATGCGCCCCTAAAAAACATTTATACACCCTTTTTACTAAAGGGTCACGATTTTAAAAATCTCTATAGCATTACTTTTTATACTTGCAAGGTTGTTAATTTTATTGCATTTTCAACCACATTAATTACAAAACAATTGCTCCAGGAAACTCATTATTTCACTAAAATCCACTAACTGGTTTAAATGAGATTTTAATAAATTTATGCATATGCAGAAGAATATTCTCACAGAATGCGATGTATTATATTGAAATATCAATTAAAATACAAGAAAATATCACAAAACATTGTGAGGTACGTGAACTTTTAAAGGTTTCTTATAACTATAAATTGACTTCAAAATATATTTATAACTTGTGTATTCGTCTCAATGAAAATTATTCAGTCTGGCTGATAATTCCTTAAATAAAACAGAAACGCCATTTGTTTCATGGTTCATATCTTACATGAAAAATTATATTTTAATTTATCTTAGCATTGATGATTGATGCAGAGCAAAACTATGATATTCTTAGAGTACTTAACCATTATATGGTTCCAAAACTATTAATTTATTAATAATGTGGAATGAACCAAACCAAAGAAGAAAATTGTTTTCTCATAAGAGATAAATTGACAGACATGCCTACAATGTATGTACAATAATCATTGGACGATTAGATCAGTATTTCTAAAGCTCACCCAAGTAACCAAAGGTCCTCGCATAAAGTCTTCAATTTCTTGAGCAACTGCCATTTTTGTTCAATTTTTATTATATCTTAAAAATGACAGCTAATAAGGGGACTTCATGAAATGTGTTGAGAACATAGACGCCTCAATTTCTTCTTCCCCCTTGAAGATTGGATGCTGTCAAATTCTACATTTCAACAAATATTAAAATAATTATTGCGCACAATAACATTACAGTGTCTGAACATACAAATGCTTCAAGGTAAAATATTAAGATAATATGAATATAAAAAAATAACCTACAAAGTGTTTATCTTTAATTCAATAATTAACTTTAAAAACTATTTCCCACTAATTTTTGACATTAGTTATCAATAAATCAAGTATCACTTAATATAGTATTGTATACTTCATCACTTGCTTTTAATATTACAAGCACAAAGCTACATTGTTACCGCAATCTAAGTATCAAGTGTATTTAACCCTAACGGCTTACTTGTCATTATGTTCCCGTGAGAAAATGAACGGAATACAGCCTTCAGATTCCCACGATACTTGAATTCTGGGGCAGACAATAAATAAGAAAAATCACGGCGAAAAATTGCATATAAAGAGGAGAGATGCGAGTTATTTCATTGTTCTTTGGTATTGTTTACATCGTTCCACTCTCTCGCAAAGTCCAAGCACAACAAACACCAAAGCAAAAGCATGTCACGTCACGTCAAACTTGTACGTCTGGAACCAACTATAACGACATAAGCCGAACTCGATCGCTTCATCGGTGGGAGGGGGGGGAAAGGACATAAAATCAGGGACAGAGACTCGGGCGTAGTTTATCCGACAGCGACCACTCCTGGTGAAGGCGCCACCGGTCGCCCATACTCCTCTGTTCATCGGCCTGAAGTCGTTTCTGGCAACTTCTGCGGTACTGCAGGATCACCTTCAACGAATTCATCGCGATACAGTGTTTGAAGGGTCGCTAAATTCAAAACTTTTAATTTTCTGCATTGACAAATGGAAAAATCACAAAACCAATATGTTAAATGAATGTAAGAGAATATGTATCTAAAAATTGTATATTATTACGCTCAAATATCTTAGCGAGATAGATATTGATTACAAATACCATACCACGAAAGAATAGTGTCATAATCGAAGAATAAGAATCTTGTTCCATTAGCCATACACAAAAGTAGACATAGACGCCAATTTAATCAGAAATAAAAATTTACAGAATGAGAAAGTTATTATATAAGTTAAAGTGAAATATATAATCAATATTTAGTCATAAATATAATTACTGGTATCCACATCTCTGGATCGTATCATCTGTTTAATAAATTATTAATTTATTTCAGGACAAAAAATATTACACAACACTTTTTCATAGTTTTCTACAAATCTTTAGAATGTGTGTAAAGGTGGTAGTGAATTGAGGTTACATCATGATGAAACTTTGTTATTAATTTTCAAATGTAAAATTACTGAAAATAAATTATCTTGGTTCATGACCATTTTTATTCATTGTTTTGGAGATGAATAATTCCATTTTGTATACTACATTTATGTTCATGTTTCTGCACAAATACAAATATTTTTTGTCTCTATTTTATCAATCAATAATGAACATTAATATGCTTCATTCTCATAACTTTTCTTAAATTATATGCTAACAACATGTATAATAAATTAACATATGTCTTGTATAATTAATGATAATGTACGAATAATGGTTCAATTTTTCTCCATCATTCCTTCCCCTACTTTGCTCTCACATTCCCCACTATTAAGTTTGATGTCACTTAATAAAAAAATTTGTTTCTTCCTGCTGGGGTCACAATTAATTTACCTACGTTTTGGAGCCTCCTTTTTGATTTTCATTCTTTCAAATTAAAATGAAGGAAATTAGAAAAGAAAACTTTCTCTAGAGCACTCTTAGGATTTATTCAAAGTTGTGTAAGTTGAGATTATTATATCTTAATTTAATATGCCAACAAAGATGTTGAATCATCAACTGATCCCCCTGATTTATTACGTATTATGAGCATTTCAACTGCTAAGGGTTTTAGTTCCATAAGTATAGTGCATGTTTCACTGTGGAAGGTAACTCCCCCCACTGACTGAATGGCAAGATCTGGCACCAACCTTTAAGCCCACTTGTGGGATTTCTTCCACAACCCCAGCTCGGACAAGCTCTAAGCTCCTGTCTAATCTCCTGGAATGTGTAGGCTAGTGTAGTGCATATAAGTGTAACTGTATGTGCGCAATCATTTTACAACATACCCATATTCCAAAAAATCAGGACACTTCATGCCATTTCCTCACAGTTTACAAATGCTATAAGATTATGTTCATAAATAATAATAAAATAAGCATAAGCAAATAAAATAAGATTTTATTCATGAGTGGAAACATTTTGACTCATAGGCAACAATAAGAGTCAAGGGGTGAGTGAATACAATCTCTACTTTGTTAACTGCCTCTTAGTTAACAGTCAGTTAACTAATTGTTAATTAATTATTGCTCCCATTATCTCATCATTAACAAAAGAAAAAAGCTTAAAGGAAATATGTAAATATTCTTTGTATACTCAATTGTGAAGCATTTATCATTCTTTTATGAGAGTTTTGCCAAGAATATGAAACAAATAAATCAATTGCAACTTAATATATAAAATATATTAGTTGTGAATCTATGGATGAACATTTTCATGTATGGATGCACATTTTTAATTGATTAGAAAGTAAAACCAATGGTGTTCAGAACCACGGAATAAATTATTGTTTACGTAGCTGTAGTGGATAATGAACATAACATATGAAAGTAAGCACAATAGTTTCTTAGGCATTTCAATTGTTGTTTTTTTAATTTCTTTTTGCCATTTTAATTAAGAAATTAAAATTTCAGTAATTATAACAAGTTTTATCAATACCTTTGCACAAAATTCTAGAAGGTAGTTGCTCAGAATTCATATTTAACATCAGCAAAGCCTGAAATTTCTTTGATTTCATTTCTGATAAGTTGAAACATTTCTCTTCTAGTGATATTTCACTAAAAGAAATATCAACAAATACAGGACTGGTAGGCCTACATAGAGAAACTTGTGTAATTTTACTGCTTATCCCCTGACAGAAATTAGAAGTTTACGTGCAAGCTGGCAATGATGGCACAAGTTTGGTTTGTAGATCTCCTGAAGCTGAGTGAAGCTTTTCTACAGTTCATTGGATGTTCAATTCTAAACCGATATATCTGACAAGTAGCTTTTCAAGTAACTTGTTATTAATTGTTATCATGGTGTTACATGAAGAAGCTAAGAGCAAGAAAGAGATACTTAAGCTATAAATCCATAGTTTTATTACATGAAGGGTTTTCCTTTGTGATGTAAGTGGGTATGAGAACATTTCAATACCAGCCTCAAATAAGATAGAAACTTCCAGTAATAAATAGAAAAATGATAGATTAATATAACACAGCATATTTTCATTATATTAATCGTGAAAAACAAATGAAAATGAAGCAAAATTATCTCCCATAGAATCAAGATAAAAAGGCACTCAATTGGAATGTGTGTCATTTGAGCATAGATAGTTAAAGGGAGCTGAGACTAGCACCACTAGCAGAAGATAAAAGTGGCAGATTTGGACCCAAGACATGTAAGTGTGAGAGTGTTGGAGAGGTACAGAGATAGAATCATGTGATATTATTGTATTTCTATCTAAAAAGAGGTAAAGAAATGGGAAAAGTTAAAATTGTAATAAATGAGAAAATTATAAAGTAAGTGTCAATAATTAATTATTTTATCAAAATTATTGCACAAAGCACAGGATAAATAAAAAACCTAGAAAACAGAATCCCAAATTCAACAGAATAAATGTAATAATTATAAAGCTTTATGGATGAGTTAATAAATTGAGAATTCACAACATGACATCAAATTGAGAATTAAGAACACTTTCAAATCAATGCTGGATGGCTCTAAAAAGAGATTCTAAAGCACAGACACCCAATTGGAAGCTAAAATTAGAAATTTCACATCACAATCCTTTTACTCTTTTGACCATGTTTTGTACTTTCATTCATTATGTCTGATTATTTATTCTTTCAGTCTGGGAAAAAATAAGTTATTTCTCAAATGAAATTCATTTTGATTATTTCAAATTGAAGAAAAAATACTCTAAATTAAGTGTCATAGGTTAATATTACACTCGTCACATGAATACATCTCTTTTAAAACACTAAAACCATACATTTCAAAGGTGCAGAATTAAGTGCAAAACTCATGCTGGTGTTCAAGCCTAGTGCAAGTGCTACAGCCGGAGGCACATTAATACACATTATATGGCATATTTTAATGAATATTTTTTTTAGTGACGTTTTTACTGAATAAATACACATATATTTCTTAGATTATTAGTGCATTTAATTTGGACCCTTATAATGAATAATCATTAAGAAGAGAAAATTGTAACAATGTATTTTTATTTTATTAACAGGAAGAAGATATTCGAGTAAAACTTAGTTCAACTTCTTTCACAGACTCACTTTATTGGCTGGTGAAAAAGGATTATTTTCTTGAATACTACCTAGCAAAACAATAACCCATTTCAGCATTTGCTCAATGGATCCGGAGAATCTTAATGAAAAAGCTGATCAAGCATAATTGACGCAGATTCTGATTACAATGTGTGTCCTAGGCATTTAGAATTACTGTATACTAAAAGGTAACTAATACACTATCATTAAAACAAACTTAATATTTATTTTTAATACTCAGTATAATCACTAAAGGCATTTGAACATATGAATCAATTTTAATTCTTAAGTGAAAACTTGCCTGAGAGTAACAATGTATAAATAACGTAAGTGATATTGTTTTATTAGTGTTTCTTAGAGAGATCTTGATGATGGCACCTGATAAATTTGAATTGAGCAATAGTAATCTACATTACAAGAAAATATGAGCCCTAGAGTAAGTCAGTTTTGAAAAAAGCATTGATTTGTATATGAGTGAGAGTATATAGTCTAAATGTAAAGCAAACTGAAATTAATTTTGTTTACAATTAATTTATAGGAACATTAATGAATGATTCTACTTTAACATTAGTCAACTGCCCTTCAATTGCTCAATGCTATGTAGTATGCATATAGATTGTTTGAAACATATAATTACGAAACAATTCTTTCTTCATTTGCCGTTGTCTTATTACAAAACCATTTTGAAATTAGAAGTTCGGGAAACAAGAATTTTTTTTTCTTCAAAATTATGTGTTGATTTGAACAAAGAAAAAGTTTGTAGCGTTTTTGAAAAGTGGTGGTAAAGAGTCTTTACAGCTTATATCCAAGGAAAAAATAAAGAGAAAAATGGAACCTTTTTGAGAATTTAAAAAAAAAGTTTCAGTAACTTCAAGTAGAAATTACGCAAAAACTACTCGTTTTTTCAAAAAATTTAACATTACTTTATTTAAAAATCTGGTGTTTTAGAGCAGAGTTTCTTTAAGAAAACATCTCTATCTTCAATATTGTACTTTTGCAACGTTGATTTTACTTTCTCGGCTTACGAATTCTTCATAAGATGATAAAGTTATGTAATCGTGCGACAGAAACTCCGAAATTTCTCCAGAAAAAACAACTTATTGGTGAGTTCTGATAACGAAAAACGGGATAACTACTGTTGTTAAATTTAGAAAAACATCCTCTAACTCGTGGTGTAGCCAGAATCCATGTTTTGTTGGTTCTTGATGCCGGCTACCTCGTCATCGGCGCATTTCTTCCTATAAGCCCTTAAACCGTGTTCGAATAGAACCAGTTGAGTCTCAGT